CGAGAGCTGAGCACACTAGAGCCTTGGTGGCTTTGTGTAGTAGTGCTTGGGAGCCCTCCATCTCACACATACTTGATAGTGATCATCCGATTGTGTGAGTGAGCGATTCTAGTGCGATTGCATCGTAAGGTTGCATCGAGTGGCACTAGGTGATCGAGTTGCAAGCCGTTGGTGCTTGTTACTCTTGGAGGTTGCCACCTCCTAGACGGCTTGGTGGTGGTCTCCGTCGAAGCCCGCAAGAAGCTTGTGCGGGGCTTCGGAGAAGAGCTTTGTGAAGGGCATTGTGCTCGCCCCACGGGAGCCACGAAGAGCAACTCTAGTAAAGCGTGTCATTGAGCTACCCTCACTCAAGGGGTAGGTTCTTACGACGCCCGACGTGTGGGCTTAGCGGGTGATGCTAATTAGCCGCCGAACCACCAAGTGAGCAGTCGACACAACGGGGACTAGCGTGTTGGCAAACACGTGAACCTCGGGAGAAAAATCATCGTGTCAACCTTATTTTTCCCGTTGGTTTGCATCCCCATTACACAAGCTTGCAATTACTCTTATACATATTAAGCTTGTGTAGTTGCTCTTGTAATTAGATAGCTTGTGTAGCTTGCTAATTACCTTCTTGCTTATGTAGCATAGAAGTAGCTCCCTTGCGTGGCTAATTTGGTTTTAGTAACCTTGTTAGTCACATTACTTAGTTTGTGTAGCTAAGCACTTACGTTCTCTAATTAGGCATTGGTTGCCTTGTTATTGAGCATTGCTAGTGAGCATAGTTAGCTTTGTGCTTTTGCTTACTAGTATGTGTAGGAGCTCCCTTGTTGTTTAAAATACTAGTGGCATAGGTTTGTGTAACCTTGCTCTTAGAAGTGTTTAGGAGAGCTCTAGCTAGCCCGGCACCTTAATTGCTTAATTAGTATATTTGAAAGGTGCTAAAGAATATAGATAGAGGGGTGTAGTCTTGGCTAGACCGATAGTTTTAATTCCGCACTTATTTCGGTTAGCCGACACGATTAAGTTTTAAAAAGAACTATTCACCCTCCCCCCCTCTAGTCGCCATCTCGACCCTTTCAACCCGGAGTAGAGCCCAGCGCACGAGCAGCGGCAGGAGGATTTGGTGCCAGCCGCTAGAACTCCAAACCCTAACGAATCCTGCGCGTAGATCCGGAGCTGCAACCGATGGGGAGCGAGGATGGGACACATCTTGCGTCGACGCGGAACTGCAGGCGATGGGGGATCCGTGTCGGGCGTCGACGGAGTGCACTGGCAGTGGCCGGGGCAGGACGGCGAAGGCAGAGGGCGGGAGCACGGGATTGGAATCGGGTGGCGCGAGGCGTGCGGAGCTCGGTGAGTGGCGACGCAGCGGGGCTCGATGCTGAGCTTGCACGGGTGGCGGCCAGGGCTCAGCATCGGGGATGTGCGAGCGAGTCCGGGAACGCATGCATGGCCGCGGGGTTGCTGCTACGACGGACGGGCGGCGGCGTTGAGCGTCTGATTAGTGATTCTTTTTCTTTTTTATTTATTTATTTAGGTGGAACTTGGGAAGGTGTGGCACGGAGTCAAATTTTCATCGCCGCCCTTTGCAAAGACCGCGCGCGCCAGGCCAATATTTCCCTTCCTGCGTCTCCTCGTTTTAGCGAGAAGCGTTTTTTCTGCTCCGTGTCATGGCACCATGTGCTTTGGGTGCAGGCTGGACTCGTACTCATACCCTTGGCTGACAGATGACCAGTAGCTAGGCTATGGCTACGCCGACAAGTAGTCTGTCTACTGAGTTTGGCTGACAGTTTATCAGTCATCAGAGAAACGCCGACAGATAATTTGTAGTCTTACTATATGATTGCCGACAGATGAGATGACACCAAAAGATCGTTCTTTTGCCATCAGATAGAGTGTCCGCGATACTAACCCTTTACCAACAGATAATAGTGGGGAAAAGTGTGTCATGGTGTAGTGCCATATTTGGGTTGTGCCTCTCAGGCAATCTAAAATAGGTCTCCTGTATAGGTACTCTGTTGGAGGCTGATTTTTAGTCTCTTGCTACCCATTTTGAGTTTAGGTGCCCATATGGGTTCTTTGTTGGAGACAATCTTATAAACAGCATTACCGTTTATCAAAAGGTGTCACTCAACGTCATTCCATGTAATAGACAATAACCACAGCGTAATATTTCTACACGAATTACATCTCCTTTGATTGAGCCCATAACACAGGCACCATTAATTATTAGCCAAGTGATAAAACTAGCCTGCCCCGTACCACATCATGGTAGGACCAAGCCTGCAGTTTAAGCAGATTCGTGCCCACGGCTCGGCCTGGGGGCGCGCACATCATTCCTCTCCGTCAACTTCACAACCAGTGAACACAGAAGCCACCAATTTAAATTGATTTAAAAGTGATTTAAATTGATTTAACCTTTAGTCAAAATACTATGTGGGACTAAGACTTTAATGCACCTAACATTTAGTACTACCCGAAAACCGAATATCCTTGGGGGGCAACAATTTCCTTAAGGGCGAAATTTAACCCCCAAGGTATATCATTGCCTTGGGGTCATACGAAACCTTCAAGGAAATGCATATTCTTGAGTACTAACCCAAACTGTCAAGTTAATTCCATATTTCCTTGAGTGCTAGTCTGAACCGCCAAGGTAATTCATATTTCCTTGAGTGTTATTATAAACCGCCAAAGTAATTTATATTTCCTTGAGTGTAACTGGAAACCACCAAGGAAGTGCTAGTTTTCTTGGGTGCAAACCCTCAAGTAAATTTTGTAGCCCAAGGAAAAAAATCAGTTTATAGTCATATTCCTCTTAACCACCGATATATTGAATTCATTGCATTCTTGTTAGACATTGTATTTTATAGACATAAATGCTCCATCGACATGTTTGTGGAATGATGAAATACATTTTTTCTTAGTATATTAATCCAACAAAAGGTTTAATTTTGTGTTGTTATGCATTAGGGAATGCATACTGGCACTTAGCTTGATATGCCTAGTTAGTTTTAAAGCTAACAAGCAACATACTAGTATCGTATTTAGGCAAAGTTTATATCAAAGTTGTAGAGCCCGAAGAGATATACATCTTAATAGTTGATGACTTTTTCATTTGAAATTATTTGAAGTCCACAAACTATTTTTTAAGTTCTTAGAGTTTTGAACATCAAATTTTTTGAATCTTTTAGATGACCTCAGATGGAGATACAACCTAAACCAAAGTTGTAGTACTCGACGAGATATAAAACTTTTCAGTTCAAACTTTTTTCATTTGAAATTGTTTAGGCTCTCTAATGTTCATTACAAGATCCAACTAAAGTCACAACAAAAAGAAAGAAACATTCACTTAGTCACAAAAGACTTCGTGGTGTAGTGGTAAGTGAGTTCGATTCTAGCTATAACAAACTTGTGATTATTTCTCTTTTTTTTTTACGGTCAGTATTATTTCTCTTTTTTCCTATGGGTCATCCGCCCTCAAGGTATATATATACCTTGGGTGTCATTAGCACTCATGAATACATACATCCTTGAGAGGCATTACATTTCTTTAGGTGTCATCGGCACTTAAGGAAACATATATACTTGTGTGCATTTCCTTGACGGTGTTAAAGATTTGACCACTTATTTGTTTCCTTGGCGATCCAACTCTCAAGGAATTGATTTGTTGCGGCTGACACTTAAGGTAATGGCTATTTTCTTACTCTCTACCCTTGGCGGCCCTTTCTTGAGTGTTGGTCGCAAGGAGTTATTTCCTTGACGGTTTTGCTGCTTTCCTTGAGGCTATTCTGTCTTAACATTTATTTGATTTTAATTGAATTAAAATGGATGAAGCCCAATTAAAATCTAACATCATGGGCCACTAGCAAGACGCCAAGTCGCTTTAACTTTTTTTTGTAATAATTTGTTTTAAATTTGTAAGGAGCCAGGATAAAACCACTTTCTTTGGCTCCAGCTCCTCTAAAGGGCGTATCCAGTGCAGAGAGCTCCCGCTCTGTGTGGGGTCTGGGGAAGGGTGTTAGTGGCAAGCCTTACCCTCACTTTGTGCATACCTTGAGGAGATTAGCGCGACTCGAACCCTTGAGAGATCTTCCTTAGGTGTCACAAAGGTAAGACTCTATCCTTGTGTACATTTCTTGCACTTGACCACTTAGGCTTGCATGCACCGAACCAATTCAACCCAAAAGCTTAAGTCGGGTGGGGAGAGGTGGGCAATTCACTTATATTCCAACACTTCCCCTCACGTGGAGGCTCCCTTAGGCCTCAGACATGGAATAGGAGCGAGCAGCAATTATTTTATTTTAATTGCGCTAACCAGGATTCGAACTCGAGACCTCTAATTTTGATACCATATTGAGTTGCATGCACCGACCAATTCAACCCAAAAGCTTAAGCTGATAGGAAGAAGTGGACAATTCACTTATATTCCAACACTTAAAAAAAAGAGAGGCCATGACTCTTCTAGGCTCCTTGATAAATTTGCAAGGAGCTGTTTTCTAGATGCCTATTTGCCAGGGCTCTTGCAAGGAGCCGTCATCATGCCAAATGAGACCTTATATTAGAACAATTTTTTTTTAATGATTACATAATTGTAGAAAATGTGGTACATTGAGAAAGGAACTTTTGCTTTATATTTCAAATTTACAATAATAGCAGTTGCAGACTTTCTTGTCGTCCATCCGAGCTTCCGTGCAAGCCACCGTGAAGTAATGCACCTCATGTACCAAATGCCACTACAAAACAGGCGTGGTAGCTGCATCCCCTGTCGGAATGAACCATGGGAGAGTGAACCAGGCCATGGAGATTTTTCGCTTTTTGCAAATGGACTTCAAGAAGGCCTGTTTTTTAGGATGGGCCACGGAGATTTGACGACCCTCTCAGATTTGAGGTCTCTAATACAAATGTTCGACATAAGACCGGATGGAGTTAGATATATTAATTTAAGAACCATGCCAATATGCCATCTCTGATAAACCACACATCACAGCTGCTATCCTCAAACAAATTCACCCAGCTATTCACATACAATGGGAAGAGCTAAACTACAAAAGAAAAACATTTAACTCTACGGGTCATCACAACAGTTCCAATTTTACAAATCATACACACAACACATACTAGTACATCAAGAAAAACCTTAGCTTTGAGGCTCTACCAATGATCTAATGAAAGACCTTCTCCACCATACCTGGAATGCTCTAATAAGGTTCGGGCACTCGGCTCCTTTGGTCGCATAGAACTGGAACCATTCCTCGAACAAACATTGCTGCTGCCTGAGAGGGAGGGTTAAAAGGCCTCGCCCTAAATTCTCCTCCAGCGATCTTAGGTCTAGACCTTTGGGGCAGCGCTGAAGCCAGCCAAAATCCAACAACATTGTGCTGAACCATCCATGAAAGAGGAGGCTTCGTACGTCACCACGACACTGCACTTTTCCTTTACCAAGTGCAATGAACACACCAGCTGATATTCGGCTTAGCTCATACCTGACCATCGCTGATGCTTGCTTGTGCATCCTAATGAGCCTGTCTTGCTTTGCCCACAGTTCTACAAATTCTTCTGCAATATCATTGTTTACTAGAATCTCCAAGAGCCAATTGAGGTTCTCTGCTTGCCTAGAGACTCGCTCAATCAGTGATTTACTCCCTCTAACTGCCACAGCCTGACCTGTATAATCTGTTGGTTCGCTGGCCTCTTCAAAGAGATCAACCAGTGACTCCAGACATAAATAACAGATCTGGTACAGGCTCTCCTTGTTTAGCCCTGACGAGTCCTTTTGATAGACTGAACTTTTGCTTAGAAGACCATTTACCAAAGATTGCATGTCTTTTCTGGCCACAGTGCTGGTGCTGCTAGTGACAGATTGAATAAGCTGTACAGTGAGGTCATCTGAGTTTTTCCAGTTGTGTGGCCGCAATCTTGCCAGTATATCCTGGAATATTGCTTCGTCAAAAGTGAATCTTGCAAAGAGATTCTTCAGCTTCTCCTCATCATTCTCATTCCAGGGAACAGCTTCTATGTATGTCAAACATGATTTGATTCCCTTGCTGAACATGATAGAGGAGCATACCTACATTTCAAAACAGAGCATCATTTATTAAAATTGTGTAATCAACATTTAATTAGCCGGACTAAATAAGTTAATAGAAAAGGAAAGATGCTAGTGCCCTTACAATTATAGTTCCATGGTTCAACACAAATCTAATTCAATATAACTTAGATCTGTATTTGCAAAACTACACATCTAAGCAGCACCAGTTGTAAATTTTGAAAACTATCGCTGGATATTGATTATTGTCATTCAAAATACTCTACAGTTCAATCAAATTCACTACACTTTAATATACGAATTAGCTTGGGAAACAAAAACAACATATTACTTATGAAAGAAGCATTGCCATCATACTACCATGTAGCATGTCCACAAAACTCACTCTACACATTTTGCAAAAAGAAAATATTTCTCAATCGTATCAGATCAAGTGTTAATTTATCAGAAAGACATGTATGGAAGTAGTTCATTCTATTCCTGGAATAGAAGTTTAGAATACTTGATTTAGATATCTGATACATATTAGCTACATTGGCCGATGTAACTCATCCAACTAAGAAATATATCTAATACAGAGATAATGTTATATGGTCATCTAGTCAATCCTAGTCGCCAGGGGACTGACTGGGAGACTAATTGCAATTAGTAAAGACCAGCCCGAACTAGTTAGGCCAAGTCAACCATATAGTTGTCCAGTATATTCTGACATATATACTATATTGTGTATACTATAAATCAAAAGGCTGGAATATAAAAGCACTAGAGCAGAAGATTCTTGTGAAATTTGATGAGGAGCTCATATCCATAATCCCTTGGAGCTGGACTGTTGGAGGAGTGACCTGGCAGTGGCAGCTTCAGCACCAGACAGTTCTTGACCCACCTGAGATGGGCAGGGGAGCCAGTGGCTACCCCTGCACACTGCAAGATCTGCTGACCGGTGGATGCAAGGAAGAGGCAGCAGCAGCTGGGAGGAGATCATGGCAGGCAGAGAACAGTGCGGTGGCAGCCAACGGTGCTGCAGTTCTGCTTTTTCCAGACACATGAGCTTCCTAGCGGCTGGCGACTGTGCGATGGATATGGGGAGAGAGCAGCTTCCACTCTGCTGTGAAGTTGTGTATGTGAGGGAAACCCAATCGGGCCGGAATTAAGAAATCCATGCGGCCAGATGACCAGCCTGCAGCCCAGCTACAATGTCTAATCAGAGGACTAGATTTCTTGTTGCTCTAATCGAGTTGCAGTGCCTAGTCAAAGTTTCAGGACCGATTAGCCTGACTAATAAAAATTAATCAGACGACCAGATAACAATGACAGAGAAGAAAACACTGATTCAGGAGTGAAATTATGGTGGTTCTACATAGTAGAGAAATAGCAATGCAACAACTAATTAGTATAGCATAATAGAAGCTATTAACCTTAGAAAGGTGTTACACTGATATTGGAAAAACAACAACAGCTACCTAGAGAAGCTCATGGACCATAGACAATCATGGATATCTGAAAACACTAACATATATGTTGTTGTTCTGGAGCATGACACTTGTGCCTACATTCTCAAGTGCTAGAGATACTAGTAGCACCTTATCCACATTCTATATAGTAGAAATGTTGGAAAAGAGATTATAAGCCAAGTTTGGATACACATGGCTAGTTACTAGTTGGGGCTAAAAATTAGCCCAAATTAGCTATGGTTAGCTAGCTAGTTGGCTAACAATTAGTTGAAGACTTGGCTAAAAAACCAGCCCACCTATTAGCTCTCCTGTTTGGGTGCACTAGAGCTAATTTTAGCTATTTTTAAGCTAGCTAGCAATTAGCTCTTGTATCCAAACATGCCCTATACTGTAGTAAGTAACTTGTGCCTCTGTTGTTTTGGAAAAGGACATGCTATCAAATACATTGCTTGAACCATTACTTTTTCCAAGCATGTCTTTACGAAAGCCATTGAAAACAGTAATTTGACAGTGTTTTTCATCACAAATATATTCATACCATTGTCATGAGATAAATATTGATACTTTCATTTACATTAGTGGTCAAAGTTTTAAAATTTTGACTGCACACACTTAAAATACAAAATAAACATTTTTCGAATGGATGCACTGCATGATTTGTGTCAAAATAAAGTGAGTTTGAGAAGTCAAAAGCATGTAATGTGGCAACTGGCATAAATTGACTAGAAAAGCATGGAGTCACCGATTTTGCTGGCAAAACCATTAAATTGACATTCCGATAAACAGTGAAATTTGAGGGGACAGTACTGAATCAGAGTATCACATAACAAGAAGAAGTCATTTCCAAACCACACTGAATTTGAACAAACAAATAAGAGAGGCTTGCAATTTCGTCTTGCTCACCTCAAGCACATCTATGGCCCTCGACACGCCGGCAGCTGCAAGACACCGCAAAGGATAAGGGTCGTACATGAGCTCCACCGCGGCCCTGAAAGCATCCAAATTCTCCACCCCGTCCACCTCGATCCTCTTCCCTACAGCGCCAGCGCCAGCAGCGTCCTCGCGCGGGGCCATGGCGGCGAAGAAATCGCTGCAGCCGCACAGCACCGTGGAGTCGACCTCCATGAGGACGCACCTCCCGTCCCTCCCCCGCAGGAAGAGCCTCAGATCCAGCACGCCACCCGCGTCCGCCTCCTCCCGCACGGCCAACACCGGCGGCGGCGCCGCCGCCACCGTGGCCGATGGCAATGCCGATGCCAGCAGCACCGCCGCCGGCTGCTCGGCGGGGCCCACAGCTGCCGAATCCTCAACTGAGGAAGCCGGCGGAGGCGGTGGAGGGAGCGGGACCGGGAGGGGCGGCGGCGGGACCGCGCCGGCGTCGGGGTCGATGGGGGAGACGCGGCCAGGCGAGAGGATGCGGCGCGGGTCGATGAGGCCGCCGAGGCCCGCGAGCCTGGACGAGGTCGGCGAGCCATAGAAGGACGCCGCCGCCGACGATGGGGACTTGGGCGGCAGCTTCCTCCCCGGCCCCGCCGCTGCCGGGGACGCGGCCGAGGAGGGCAGCGGGCGGAGGTCGGGACTGTCGGGCGCGCCACCGAAGGAGCAGCACCAGGCGCGCGGGCGCACGCGCGTGGCGTCCCCGCCGCCGCGCCTCCGGTGGCCGCGCGGGCCCTGCTGCGCCGCGTCCGCCACCATTTGATGTGATGTGGGATCTGGAGCCGAGCAAGCTGGTGGTGGTGGGCCGCGGCTCTAGGGTTCGGATGGGGTGGAGGAGGAGGCGGCGGCGGCGGCGGCGGCCACTGGGTGGAGGGACGCGGAGGGCGAGGGGTTCGAGGAGTGGCGGCAGTAGCTTGCTTTGCAGTCCAGTGAAAGCTCTCTCCACTCTCTTGCTTCCTTTCCCTTGTGTCTGTGGACTGGAGCTGTGCTGCACTGGCAGTTCTGCCAGTCTGGCGCCGCGGTCGGTCCGTGCTGGTGCTCCGTGAACACGGTCCATGGACACCGGACTGACTGCCGCTGGGGTCCACCGCGGCCTTTGCCGCGGCGACCGATGAGCCTGCCTCGGATACCGCGTGGCGACGGTTGGGATCTTCTGCGGAGCGGCCTTCAGGCGTGGTGGGCCCGGCCGTCCCGTGGCGTGACACGCGTCATCGGCGCACGTGCAAAGTTGAGAGCAACCGGACACCATGCAACTTGATTTTATAAGGGATGTAATTCCAGGACGGTGAGCAGTAGATGAACTATCTTAATTAAGATTAAATTCATATAAAAATATGGGAAACACTATACAACATGCGCCTGATTTTTGCCTTCTATCAAGCAACTGATGGCAGCCGTTGGATCCTAATCGTATGGCTTTAGAATCATCTTTCGGCTGTCAGCCTTCCTCTTCCAATGCATTAGACTAATGCAGCTCACCCCCACCTCCAGCTAGCCTGCCCCATCCATGGCGTCGTGTGTAGCCCCGCTGCCCCCACCGCGCTAACCCAACGGCGCTGGGCCATACCCATGCCTCCCACACTCCTCTTTGGCCCAACCACCGTCCTCCATCATCATTGCCAATAGCGACCTCACCGCCTTGCCCTACCGCCTCTGCACCCATCTCCTCGGCCTGTACCTCCCTCGAGCCCATTTATAAGGCTGTAAAAAAGAGTAGACCTGAACTCGTCGTGCGGCACGAGGAGAATGATGCTTGAAATCAATCGCAATTTTTGGACGCATGTAGAATAGAAGATGTGTAAAAATATTTATACTTATCATATACTAAATAAATAAATATATTTCACGAGCACTCCATCGCCGCGTAATGATCCGATTGCACATGTTAAGGGCTAAGCTACTCACTGTACCTCGCCATCATTTTTTATGCGGTCTCTAGATAGATCCAATTGAGGCTTCTTAAATTAAGATTTTGCTCTCATTTTGCATAAACCCTTCCAAGGAAGAGATGTTAGAACGGTAGTCATATATGCAACTTTCTTTGATGTTTGCAGTTATAGGATCTTTCCTTGGGCTTACGGTCCGCCTAAACTCTCTGAACATATTTTGAGGTGTTTTGAAGTGCTCCGCTCCATATTTTTCAGCTCCACGTTTTTTTAGTCAAACGGTTTCAGCTCCATGCACTCTATTCGAGGAAAAATGTAAAGTTGTGAGAGCACCTAAAGAGGTGCTCCACAAACTCCAGTTTTTTGTGGAGCTACTCCACGGTGGAGTTTGTGGAACAGAGTTTGTGGAGCAGTCCCAAACACCCCATTTATATATATAATGAAAAATAGTATTAGCCTCTCGTGCTATTTCATCAAATCAAATGCAAAAAAAGGGCTAAGCTGGATTGCAATTGGTCCAACACACTGGATCAAGATGCCACAACTCCATCGAACTTCGAATCTTGGGAGTTTTCTGTTGTTTCATTGTAAGATTATGTGAAACATTTTTGGTGGAGACCTTATAACTTTAATAGCCGATTAACTATATTTTATTTAGAAAACAGTGTTGATTATTTTACAAGAAGGGAAAGTGCACAACGTTCCTTCTCTCCATAAGAAAAACAACAAGGTAGACAGCTAACAAAAGCTGGCAAAGCATGTGACCAATGTAGGGGACCTAATCTGACCCGGATGTGGGTTACACACACACTCTCACACACAGTCTATATTATTAATTCAAGTACCATCACATGAATTAATCGTATGAATATCCCTCACACATTAGCCATCTTGTCAACACTGAGATTATAGTAGTATTTGGTTGACAGTGTCGTAGCTGCCTAGTGTATTTGCTCTCATCTGACATTCTGACATGGATTTCTGGAAAATGAGCAAAATCCAGGAATTCAGCCAGCCATTGCCTTCGCTAGACAACAACCCACAGTCACGGCTTCAGTGCGCTGCTCCAACTTTGTGAAACAAGGGGATAATTGCAACGAACCGAAATGGAATCACAATTCATTAAGATAATTGAAGAGCCAATGTCCTTCTGGGTCCAAGGACTGGTCAGGAAACAGAGGAATTCACATGGCAGAGTTGACAGTTGACACACTACTCGTTGAAGCCTCTGGTCCAGGCAGGTTACAGGGACCGTGACGTCTAATAGGATGAATTAGATAATTTAAAATTCTAACTTTAAACTATAGTTTTTTTTCTAACATTAGCAAAACCTATGTAAAAGATAAACTATCTAAATGTGTAACTATAATTTTGCTAGTGTGTTGTTATCTCTACCGCAAAAGGAGTAATACAATCAATATAAATGCAGAAGCTAAAGAGCAAGGTAGAGATATGCAAACTCCCGTCGACGACTCCGGTATTTTTACCGAGGTATCGAGAAGCGCGCAACCATCTCCTTAGTCCTTATTGGAGCCCCTCGCAAGAAATCCCTCGCAAGGGCCAAGTTTCCAGTTGGGTAACTCCGTGGTTAGCCTCGGGCCTTCCCCACACGCAACTGGGTCTCCGACGTGCCATCCGACAAGCCTCTCACGGATGCTCCCCGCCGTCTTCACTATCAAGCTTTCGGTCGAAACGTCACGGGCCTTGTTCCCTCCGGTACACGGTGGCGGCCACACCACAATCGCGGTTGGTGTGATCTCGCAACACTACAAGCCCCTCCGATGTACAACAATGGTGCGTGCAAACACCGAGTGGTAAGAGATATGCAAACATCACTAAACACTAGGCCTAAACCTAGAGCAGGCGTATAAGAGGTGATCTAATCAACCTAAGCACTTCGCAAAGGACCTATGCTAATCACCTAATGAATCACTAAGCACTATACAAGTGGAGATCACTAAAATGGTGTATCAATACCCTTGGTATGTTTCCTCAGCTCCATACATCTCATTTGGTCAGTTGGGGGTTGTATTTATAAGCCCCACTGAGAAAGTAGCCATTAGGGACGAAATCCCGCTTTCCCGCTACTGACCGGATGTTGCTTTCGCCCTGACCGGACGCATACGGTCGTCCCGACCGTTAGAGCCGCGATCAACTGATCGGACGCTGTTGGCGTCCGGTCACATGCCACCGGACGCGTCCGGTCGCAATTTCACAGCTCTAGAACCTCTCTGTACTCGATCGGACGTTGCTATTCTGCGTTCAGTCGATTTGCCGCCAGCGTCCGATCAATGCTGAATGTGTTGTCGGGATGATGAACAGTGCCATTGGTGCATCAGGTCATTTTACTTGTTCAACGTCCGGTTGTTGCTGCTGACACCTGCTATAGCCGAGTCACTGATCGGAGCGTCCGGTCGATCACCTTCCAGCGTCCGGTTCAGCGCCCGATCACCTCTATGAGCTCGTATCTTCGCAATCTTACGTCTGGCTTGGTTCCTATCTTCATGCTTGGACTTTGCTTGATATCTTGAGTCTTCTCTTGTGCTTCTAGGGTCTTGCTTAAGGTGTTGATCATCGGATCATCATGTTGCCTTCATCCAAGTCCCGTCTTACACCCTATTGAACTATAAAACAATCACTTGTAAATTCATTAGTCCAATTTAGTCGTGTTGGTCATCAAACACCAAAATCCAAAGTAAATGGGCATAGGGTCCATTTTCCTTACAATCTCCTCCTTTTTGGTGATTGATGACAACACGACAAAAACAAGTAAATAATAAAAATTTAGAATTTAAAAACTATCTACTTGCTAGGATGCAAATGCAAGGGACAAGGTCATATGATGCTAAAAGATACTACTTGTAAGACTAAAAGATATCACTTGAAAACTTATCTTGCCCTTGCAAATATCCCCATGTGGTATTATGGATTTTAGCCCTACTTTTGATCCTACAAATTCTTTCCATTACATAGGCTAATCCATAATCCACTATCCTCTCTTTCTCAGACCATTACCATTTGTAAATTATTATGATATAGCTTTTGGTCCTACAAATTAATGCTTTCTTTTGGTCCTCTAAATTCTCCCCCTTTGAAATCAAACACCGAAAAGAAAAACTATTAGTAGCACAAGAGAGGGTCAAACTTTGTGATCCTTTGTATATAGAGTGAAATATGTCACAAAATTTGACTCTCATATTATATAGACTAAGCTCCCCCTATATATATGTATATATATGGTAAAAGACAAAGCATATTCATGATTGGCAAATTATTGCTCAAAAGAATTTAATCTATATAATGCATGGAGAAAGCATATAAATATCAAAATAAAATCAACATGATGATATCTGTTTAGAAATATCACATGTGGAAACCAATTTGATTTCTACCACTTGCAATAGGTGGTGGATATTTGAAGTATGATGCTTAACTCCCGGGACTCCATTTTTCTTGCAATGAGACTACTACTCACATGATAATCTTGAAAAGGGTGTTAGTCTCAAAGCATCCAACTTGTAGAGTAACCTCCCCCTAAATTTGTACATACAAGTATGGAATACTTGTAGAAAACATGCACATTGATTTTAGAATTAAAAAAATACCACTTGAAGATGACATCACATGAATGTGAGTCATTTTCGAAGACGATATTTGGGAGAAATTATCTATAATTTAGACTTTGGCACATATTAGATGAACAATCGAAAGACAAGCTATGTGTCGTGCTCCTAAACAATTTTAAACCATGTAGGTTTGCTCCAAGGGTTAAGAATGAAACTGAGCAAACCTACCATAAAATATACCTAGTGTATGCATGACAAAAGATATAACCATGCAAATGCAAACCTAAACATGAAGAGTAACTAGATG